ATTTTTTATATTTCATTTTTAAATAATAATAATTTATAAAGAGCTGCGTTTTTTATTTCACACTATAAAAGATTCTATTGCTATAATTTGTTTTGTTTTTTTCAAATTTAATATTATTTCAATACAATGAAATCGCATTTTTTATATTTTATTTCATATTTTTTCCAGATTGATGACCAAGTATTTCAAATGAAATAATCATCAGTATCAAAAATCACACGTCTTACCTACGACGATAGCTCTGTATTTGACATTTCCCATGTGCAACAAGGCAGCAAGAAGCTTGAGTATCTCCCATATTTCCATGTCAGAAAACAGTAAAACCTTCATTGCTGATCTAATGTCAGCAAATTCTGCAGCGTCATCTCGACCTTCGCACGTGATACTACCACCCTGAAAAGAAAGGAATGATTTTAAATAGGAATATTAAGCATCTTTTCTTCTACATTCAACGAAACATTACCCCTGTTAAATACTTGTACGAAGAAGCATCTTCCAATTCTAGCTTTTGCTTCTCTTCTTTCGAAAGACCAGCCAACATACAATAAAATACATGATAGTTTCTTTCGTCCAGACTTTGTGAAACTATTCGTGACTTCTCCAATAAATATTGCTCTATTTTTGCTCCTTCTATTACTCCTTGTTCGTTAAAGTGAATGTCAATATATTTTCCAAAGCGTGATGAATTATCGTTTCGTACAGTCTTAGCATTGCCGAATGCTGAACAGAATCGAAAATCGAGTTGAAAATTTTTTCATCTTCACATTATAATATGATCATATGTGTACGTATATAGAGATTTACCTTCTAAGATGGGATTCGCTTCCAAAATTTGTTGTTCAATCCAAGAATGCTTTCCGCTAATCGCTGCCAAATATTGCAAAATTAGTTTCGTACTTTCCGTTTTGCCGGCTCCGCTTTCGCCGCTAAGACACAAACATTCGTGGATTTGACAAACCATTTCTAAATAGAAAAATAGTATAGAGAAGAAGGAGGCAGCCGCTCGAAATCATTTAATCAAGTAGAAAAATAAAATAAAACAATGCCCGATACCTAATCACTATACATTGATCTTGACCATATCGATTCATATGTGCGTAACTATTATCTCCAATTGCGAATATATGAGGCGGTAGCTCTCCGATTTTACGATCCTTGTACAATTTGATTTGTTCCGCGGTATAAATAGGCAATATTTGATATGGATTCACAGCGACTAGAATCGAACCGGTGTACGTCTATATAAAAAATTTTATGTGTTACAATTTTATGTATTTTGTATAAATATATTAAGTAAAGTAAGAGATTCGAGATAATTGCTTACGTATATGAGATTCTCATTATAACGGATCAACAAATTCCTTAAAATGCCCGCTTCATGGAGGTCTCCTAAACTGATCATATCTTCTACACCTTGCACAGAAGTGGCATGCATCGCTTTTATTCGCCTCTCTGGAGTCAGCCATTGTTCCTGAAGATATCAATGTCATTTTATATCTTTTTACATCGATCCGTGTTTACATTGGTAATACACATTGATTATTATAGGAATCTCCAATAGACAAGATAAATCGAATAACAATTTTTCGAAACAAATCGAGAATTCTGATACCTTGTTATCGTCGTCTTTCACTTGAATGCGTCTGCCTTCCGCGGAAATAACTCGTGCTCCGATAGCAACGTCAAATTCTCTCCCTGAGATTGGTTCGATCCATATGTAATCTCCCTGCAACGTAATTTTTTCATCGGTAATTTCCCTTTTGTTTTTTTATATCTATTCTGGAAATAACGACGCTTACGCGTATATTATAGAATTGTTTAAATCTTAGCATTTGAATATTCGAAGAAAAGTCAGTTTTTATTTTATTTTTCTTTCCGTGCGATAAAATAGATAGTTAAAAAAATTATACATTATATAATTGAACAATAATAGCAGATAATTAATTTAAATTAATTTAAAATTGGATACAATAATTCTACGTTCGTATCGTGATTTATTTTCTAAAAATGAAGAGATTTGATCGGGTTCTGTCTAACTTCTCCCTTTGTTTTGAATCACCGTCGTTGCTGCCCTCACAAACAATAATGTAATTACCCAAAGAAACGAGTATTATTCTGGCTTCTATGACGGCACAGTCTTTATACGAACGATGCGATGCGATGCGATCGATCATCTTTCGACGAACGATAAGTTTTCAAGTGAATTAGAAACGACATTAATTTGTGGTAGGTAAATAATTTATCAACCGTGTCGACCGAAAAAGTTTTTTTTGGTTTACATTCGGTCGAGTGGAAATGACCGATCAAGTAGACATGCGCCAAATTTCTATGAGAAATTGTTTTCATCCATGGTCCGTTGTATCTTCCATCATACATCTATATATCTATGTATTCGTATCGTCACGCAGATTAAATTAATAATGAATATTACGTGACGGCGATTCATCGATCTTAGATATAGACGAGAAAATCGGATCAGTATTATCACTTGGAAACCGCATGCGTTCCAGTTGAAAGACTATTTGAGAACCTCTAAACTAGCCTACACTTTTTACGGATATGATACTTACGCTCTATACGAGCGCACAAACTGTACCTGATATTCGTATACGTTCCGATTGTTCACCTCACCGGAACAACATCGGAAGAGCTCGTCCGCTCGTTACCTCGAAACAAATCTCCGTTCAATTTGGCTCTTCTTTTGTCAGTCGGTTTTACTTTCGTCTCTCCGTGTCTATGAAAAATCATGATTCGTGCTCATGTATCTCTGATATCGCGAAATAGATTCTTTCCCTGTTTATTCCCCGATCTCGAAAGGCAAGTTGGAACTAACGCAAGGAAATAAGATAGACGAGTATGCATTATAGACGCGTGCGCACGCGCCACAAGGAAGGAATAGAATACGATATCGAGGATACAAACGCGTGTCCGGTAAAATGACTCGCGTCCCGTTATATGACGGCTGGTTCGTTCGCGCGAAATGCTAAAAGCCTGTGTTCAGGGCATATACGATGTGACCAAGGACCGTTAACTATGCCTAATTAACCGACCATTCGTCTCGTTCCATGTTGCATTAATATTTCGCGATATGATGTTTCAGGCCAACTAATCGATTGGCGTATTTATATTTTTGTTTCGATCGATCGTAGATCTAAAACATAGATCTTTTGTTTCAATTCTGATCAATATTCTTGAAAGAATTTTTTGTAATTATTTTTGTAAAATATCTATCGTATTTAATTAAAATTAATTATTCAAGAGAAGAATGGTCGATTTTCCAAGAGAATATTGAATATCGTTTTTATTTCAATTCCATCATCATTATTCACTAAACTATGGACAATGAAGATAAGTAAGATGAAGATATAATAAGAAAAAGATTTGAATATTAATTGAATGAAAAGAAATTCGACGCGTGTCCTCCGAGTATGACTTTTCATACGAGGAAAGAATCTGGAGATAGTTGATCTCCGTCATTTTCACTTGTCACAGATTCCTAGTGACCGTCTTTGAAGAATGCGACGAAGAAAGCGGTATACAATGTAAATGTGTGCGAACATGGATCATTTTTCTTATTCCTCGATCTTAATCGATATACATATATTTTACAATTTATCGACCAATTTATTAATCAGAGCAAAGAGTAACCAGCGCAATATGACAACCTGTTGCAATAATACTTACCCGCGTGACGATGACCATCTCTCAAGTCGTGGTTGTCGGCACTCCGCCTGAAAGAAAACAAAACTTTCTTTTTCTTCTTGTTCTCTCATTGCTTGTGCACTCGTATTTTTTTCTTATCTTTTTTCGTGCACTCATATAACAGAACAAAAAGGGAATTGTTTCGGAAGAATTGAACGTCATTCTATAAAATATTTTTGAACAATACTTTTGGTAACAAACGCATAAACGTTTTCACAGAAATTGAATGGGTGCTCTTTGATTTGCTCTATTGTTACATACATGTGTCTATGTCGAACATTCTTACGCGAATTTATTTGAAGAAAAATTGTTCTGCGTGCGATGATTATGTCCGGCTGATCACCGTTACAGTGGAAGCAGCACAAGCATAAACCTGTTTGCAAAAGTGGGTTAGGCAGTTTCTGTTGCTACCATTCAGCCGTATAACACCTTTCGAGAACATCCATCGAGGATGATTCTCACCATAAGATTGATCTCAATTACTATATCGATTCTGATCTCTTGTTTACAACGATACAATTTACGAAAGAAAATTGAATCGAGTCAATTTAATCAGGGATTAATCAGGGAAATATTTAATGAATTCATAAATCTATGAATTCATGAATTTGAGACAACGGAATTGCAATTTACGCGTCATTGCATTGATTTTGTTAATCAAGTTAAATATAGATAAGTTTCTTTCGATTGTATACTTGCATGAACAAGTATTTTGGATCGACGAACCGTTCGGAATTCGTTATTCTTATTCCGAATTTCTGATCCATCTTAGAAAATAGAAAGAATGAATTTCGAAAAAAAATTCTGTTGAATTCAAAGTCCAAATGTATTGTAATCTATTAAATAGAGAACGAGTTATAAAAAACCATTCCACAGCTTTCCCTTGAACTTGAAAGATGAACGCGCAAAAAAGCCGCAGTCGTTGACTTTGAAAATATGTACGTATCGAAAGAATGGAGAACGTAGCTATACACCGTTTATGGGAGACTTTAATGGACGATCGGACAACATGCGTTTGTGCATAGGATACTTCATATTGTTGCGATTTTATTAAAAATATATTTATTAAAAATTAATGGAAATTAAAATTTATTATAATTCCAATGAATCAACAATCCAATGGTCGATTCTACTCTTTAATTGCTTGTTCAATTTTGATTTGTACTTCCTAACAACAGCATTGAAATCACACCTCTCGTTTACTCACCACGCTTGCGCTTATTCGAGTCTATATCTTACGTCATGATCGCTTTCCACGTGTGCATCTTCGCTCTATTATAACTTTTTTCATATTCTGCTAAATTTTTATTCCTATATTTTTAAACTTTTACACGATATTGAAATAACATCTTTTTCACATTTTTTTTTTCGCGCGATCGAACTTGTGATTCCCGCAAAAAATACACTCAAAATTAAAAACTAACAATAATAGAGGAAACTTAATATATCGAAAGAATAAATTAAGTGAGCAAAGTATGAATTTTTTAAATAAATATTATTTAATTAAAGAATCAAAACGAAGAAAATATTATTATTTTTATCTGAATCTTAGTCTTATCTCGTCACTACTTATTATCTTATTTATTACATTTAAAACTCGCTATATTTACACGTACTAACTATAATTACGCGAAATATTGATATTGGATTTTTCTTTAAATTTTTCTAACACTATTTTTCATGTAAAAAATTCATTTACGAATATAAGACTTTTTGGTATTTACATGCAATTTAAGGAATAAATATAGAGACAAAAATTGAATAGAAATTTAAAAATTCAGATATTAATAATTTTTTTAACATTGCAGTAGCATAATAAGTAATAATACAATTATTTATAACATAATATAATTCGTTTAGTCTAAAAGGAAAAAGGGACGCGTTTCCGTAGCGGCGTAAAAATTTTGTTTTCAACCAAGCATCCGTTATGAACAATAAAAAATTTTATCATTCTAAATTAAATATTTTTTATTTACAATAAACGAACATTTCGTGTAAACGATTCTCCCGTGAGAATGAATAAATACAAACGTACCTTATGCGAGTAACGAAAAACACGACGAAAGTGGCTACACGATGTTGGCACACTCCATTAAGAGGCACTGCACTACACTTTGAACGTGATGTGAAGCGCGCTTTTCATGTCCGACGTGACTAGAGAAGCTCGTCGAAGCTTAGCGCTTAAAAGAAGCAACGAACATGAAAAAAGAAAAGATCACTGACTACACTGAAAAATAGGACACAAAAAGCAACAGTAGTTGTTTCAGAGAATGGGCCACGACCGTGACCGGCACGTTGACGCGTCCACTCGGGGAGTTTCGGTTCGAATCGGGTGTGCCAGGTGGAAGCAACTGAAAGAGGTGGAAAAACTATCTTTAACTAAACCATGATCAAGTTTGGCTTCAGCTATGCGATACCCCACCAATCATCATACATTTAATAAGTATTGATTCTATATTTTTTAACAGTTCTTTCATATCTGCTTCCCTGAATCTTTCTTGATTCTTTCTTTATCGATATCTCGATCATGACGTCATACACTTCAATACATATTCACTTGTGTATATTTACCTGCAACCTGTTGCGTACGATTCGATACCATCTATAGTTTTTTTCATTGTCCTTCAAACTGTTCGAACAATGATCTTCTTACCGATCGAGAAATTCTACTTTATACTCTTATTACTAATGAAAAAAAATTAAAAAATTACTATATATTACAGAAAAGCAAAATCGTTTACATTGAAAATATATTTTTCATTTCATACGAATTTTACATGAATGTTATACATACATACATACATAATAATTTTTATAATTTTTAACATATGCATTAATACATAAAGTACTGAAAACTTCGGCAACAATAACAACACTAGCGATGTTATGCACGTTGCAAATTAACAATTTCATAAAAACGTGCTATATATATGTATAAATAAAATATTTTTTATGCAACGAGAACAATACTTGTAATAATAATTCTAACGATTTATTTTTTACGAATATTTCAAACATTTTTGTATGGAAATTATAACAAATTACTGTACTGTCGTATTGTTATCGATGTTGTATATTTTTAACAGTAAAAATACGAATGAAAGTATATATTTTAAACAATTTTGATTTTGATCCCGCATAAATTACGCAGTTGATCGATGTCTTTTGATAATGAATAATTACAATGCACAACGAATATTATAAATTATTTCCTAAAATTAAGAAGTTACTATCATTCGATGTAACGAAGCAATGATAAATTCTATATCTAAATTTAGAGTATTGCTTCTTGGTAGATATATATTTTTAATAAATGATGAATACTTTTCGCTTATGTTCATCATAATAAAAGATTGATTGCATAGCAAAGTATTCACGCGTAGAATATAAACTAATTCCAAAATATATCATTTAATTTTGAATAAAATATTAATATCATTATAATTTTTTATATAACTTTGTTTTATAAATAATTATATTTAAAAAAAGCATAAGACGAATTTAACATTCATAATACGTTTTTTCAAATTGCACTCGTATATTAATTGATTTAACGTGCTCCAATAATAAATGTTGTTTTTTTTCTCTCAGTTGCTTTTATCATTAGTTATAGTATCGATGAGAAATCAATAATATTTGCTATGATAATTGAATAATAAAAATTGTAAATGCATCCAGGTACAAAATATGCATGTTATTATTAAATAGAATTATTAAATACACAAAAAAATTAAATAGAATATAAATAGCATATTTTTGTCAAAATCTGTTTTCAATTCTAATTCTTTATGTTCTGTATGTTTTTGTAAAAATTGTAACATAGTCATAATTTTAATCAAATTGTATTTAAAATTTTGAAAATGTTATTTATGTAATAATTTGTATAATTTAAATTATTATTGTTGTTGTTGTTATTATTACTATTATTATTTTTATTATTATTATTATTAACAGTAGTAGTAGTAGTAGTAATAGTAGTAATAATATCTAATTATTATTATTTTTGCATAACCTGTACCTCATTTTAAAATATGTTTGAAAAAATATTGCATTTTACAGATAAATCAACTCTTGGAGTTTTTAAAAAATTATAATATAAATAATTAGGAATGCAACAAAGAGAACGACTAGGAGCAACATTGACAAAACTAAAAGTTATTGACAATGTTTTGACAAATTATATTATTTTTTAAATTAATAGGCAGTTTAGAGCAATTCCTCAAAAATGTTGTATCTTTATATTAAATTATTTATAATAATAATTATATAATATAATAATAATAATATAATTTTATAATGCACATACTATTCTGAAGAAAAAGATAATTTTTGACTGTATATCAATCAGATAAATATAATTTAATTCAATTTTGTACTTTAAAATATAAAATTTCTCATAATGTCATATAAAGTAATATATTTCTTAATTTTGATATTTTTTATTCACTTAAAATCAAAATAATTTATTCATAATTATTATGTTAAACTTCTAATGAAAAAGTAAGATTATCATTTCATATTTACTCCGTTTATGTATTATGATTTATTAAAACATATTTATAACGAATTTAATTAAAAATTCAATCTATTGATCCATACTTTGGTCATTTATAAATGTTATTACAATAAATGAGAAAAAAAATATATATTATTTTCTAATATTTGCTGAATAAGTTATTGAGTTTTTTTTCCATTGGAAGAGTATTTGCAAATAGTATTTGATATATTTTTCTTTTCTTTTTTTCAATTTTTATATATTCTATTTTAATGCTGTAAAATATTTTAGAGATTCGGAATTTCTTTATGTAAGAAGCAAATTGTAACATAAAAATCTAGTAGTGCTTGCGATTAAATAAACGGATTTTAAAATGATTTCAATAACGATCGTAAAAATAGGCTCTGGATATTATACTTTTACATCGAAATATAACAATATTTTTCTCTTATACCTTATGATTTGATTAGTTTCGTTATTTATAAATAAACATATTTGGAAGTTCATTGAAGAAGTGCAGAAATATCCCAAATCTTAATAAGACGATCTTGTCCAATAGTTAGTAATCTTCGTCTAGAAGCATCGAGATCCATTCCAACAACATTATGCTTTGCATCATGGAATGATGCTAAAGATGTTTGGCTGCATAATAAATAAATACGTAATATGAATAAAATATAAATTGATCTTGTTTGTTCCATTTTCAGATATATTTAATCTTATTTTTTCTACTTACTTTGCAGCTTTAAGTTGGATATGACATTGATCACATACTCTAACTTCAAATTCAAAACCCATTGCAGGTATTGGTATTCGTTGAGATGTACATCGAGCGCATAATGCACGACCACAATGACGACAATGATGTTGTCTCAAACCTAATTGTCGTTGATCCATCATTGCTTTAATATTCCAAAAGAATGGTCTTCCACAAGCCTAAATTTGTTATAATATTTATCTACATATAATAAAAGATTGTATAGATTTATAATTTCTTATAATTGTAAAATTGTTTACTTGGCATGTATCAGATTCTACCCATGCTGCTGTCTCTTTTCTATTTGCAGCCATATCCCAACACACTATTACACCATCTTCTCCTCCAGATAATAACATACGTTCTGCACTTGCATAGCATAATGCTGTTACTTTATTGCTGTAAAATTATGGAATGCTATAGAATGAAAATTTATCTAGGAAGAAATTTATAGAAATCTGAACTTACTGATGTCCTTGTAATTCATATGCTGTACCCTGCCGACCACCGATATCCCATACAATAATACTTTGATCGAAACTTCCAGAAAATAAAAGTTGTTTTTCAGAATCCCATGCTAATGTATGAATGCTTCCTGTGTGTGTTTTTAATGTGGTAATTAGTGTGACACCATTAGTATCTAATTTCAACATAGCTATTTGTCCAGAATAATCGCCGACAAAAGCATGTTTCGATTGTGTGTCAAATCTATAGTAAGTATAGTTAATAATTATAAGTTAAGGAGATATTTTTAATTTAAAATAGAAATTTTTTAAATGAAATATAAATTTTAAACAAATAAGAAATTATTTTTTATTAAAAGGATACTGCAAAGCAGTGTACCATGCATCTGTCTGATATGATCCTAACTTTTGCCCTGTTTCTGAACAATGTAATTGAAACATTTTATCTCGACCTATGCTTAATACCCATTCATAATTTGATGCAAATATAACACCTGTAACTCTTGCTTGATGTGCAGCATATTCACGCATAGCAGTCATTTGATTATAATCTTGTTCCAATATGAATTCCTAAAAGTAATACCTAACATATTCATTCTAAAATATAGAAAATATTAATAATTCTCTGAAGAGAATGATTACAATACATACATTTATAGTTCCATTTTCTAAACCAACAAATAACTGTCTAGTTTGTATACAATAATGCATCGATGTTGCACCAGCAGCCATATATTGACAAACACTTGGCCAATAGTGGCCAGAATCTCTTTTCAACCAAACTCTAACAGTTCTGTAAAAAAAAAATGTTTTATTAAAAATATAATATAATGTAAACTGCCAAAAAGCAACCATTATTAAATAAATATTGCATGAATTTGTATCAAAATTCAATTTATTAAAACAAGAATAACATTCATTTACCTGTCATCGCAAACACTAATTACACCATCTTCCCGCGGTATAATGATAGCCGCATTGACATCATCATTGCATCCTTCTAATTTCGATAAAAGTATAGGTTTTCGACTTGTACTAAATTTATCATGATTAACCCCTGGTGCAGGTTTTATTTCTGCTGCCATTTCAATCTTTGAAACGTAATATTTGAAGCAGATTTGTCATTTGACAGTTGTCAGACTTCAATATTAATCAGAGTTTATATACGTTATGAAGACGGAAAGCCGGATTTTTTTAGAGATTGTGAAGAATCTATTGGCGCTATTCGTGATATTTGTTACGAATATTTTTTCTCCTTTTTTTTGAATTCCTTATTATCGACTGTTACGATCTTTATGAAAGATTTATTTGTGTGTGTCTGTGTATGCGTATGTGAATTAATAGAAATTTATCACAAATTGTGTTAACTAAACAAACAATAATGATTGATAGTTAATTTCATCAATCTTTAATTTAATTTTTCTCAAAAGATAAAACATTTAATTTTAAAATCAAGAAATTTAAAATTTACGATTTTGATTTGTAGATTCGTTAAGGTACATTTTGACGTTATAAAAGAAATTATATAGTATTATCACTGATATAATCGACAAATAGAACATATTATATAAGAAATATATTGAGCGGAAGATCTATATCATTTCTTCTCTATGTTTGTTCACATATAAAAGATGAAGTACTGTAGGAAAAATGGTAGATTGAAAGTATACAAAAAATAATAATAAATCAATTATTTGTTAAAATAATGAAACATATTTTCAGTATTTAATATTTTAAACGTTATCTATAGATTGTCTTTTCCCTAATAATATCAATATGTTGGGAACAAAGGTAAGAAACAAAAAGAAATTGATTAAATATTTTCCAAATATTTCTTCATATTCGAAAGTAGTTAAAAATAGATAAAAACATAAAAATAATAATTGATTTTCAATGATATTAGAACGATACTAGTAAAGACGATAATTTGAAAAGACAAGGTTCGTTCAGAAAGTTATTACCTGTAAACACAAACGGAGATTCTCAATTAAGTATGTCTGTGAAAATGATCGATAGACCGACTGTATCACAAACTAATAAAGAATATACGATTTATTTGCAAGAATATAATATTTTATCTGAATAGTAAGTAACTTTATAAGTACATCTAAAATTTTACAGAATCTATTTTATATATCTTTTATTGCTATATAAATATCTGAAATAAATAAAATTTCTTTTTTTTAAATAGTAACATGTTATGTTCACAAGATCTGAAAGGAATTTATGTTATACCATCTGCTCGAAATTCTTTGTGTAAGTAATATAAATAGACAAATAGGTTAATTAATTAATTCTTTTTTTTTTCAATGCATCTTATGTATGAGAAAGATTGCATTCAAATTATTTAAGTCAAATATGAATTGATTCTTAGGTCTTGCTTGTCCTGACTTGGTCTTGTATAATGGTTTACATGTAAATATGTGCATGATTTATTTTTTGCCACATTTTCTTGTATATGTGTTTGTAATATACATTTATTAAATTATAATGAATTTATTTTGTGTTAGTATGGTTTGGTGTACAATTTGTGCGGCAAGGAATATATCAAGGAGGAATTTTTAGATTTGATATAACACTACCACAAAATTTTCCAAATGGAGAATGTCCTGTAAGAATTTATTACCTATTATAATTTATACCTAAAATATATAGCATTTCAATTATAATATTGATTTAATTATATATTGAACAAATATTATAGAAAGTCACATTTCAAACTCCAATTTTTCATCCTTTAATCGATCCTGTGTCTGGAGAATTAAACACATTATGGGGATTTCCTGAATGGAGGAAAAGTAATAGAATTTGGCAATTGATACAATTTATAACAAAAATTCTGTCAAAAGTAGATCTTAAGATGAATCCTGTGAATCATGAAGCATATAATTTGTATGTATCTAAAAAAAAGTATTAATTATAAATAAAAAACATAACATTGAATTTGTGTTACAGATTAGAGAATAATTTCGAAGTATTTCGAGATCGTGTAAAAAAATGTGTAAGAGAAAGTTTAAATAAAGTTTACAATTCATCTACAGTGGATGATCCTCACTATATTATGTTTAGTCCATATGTTGATGAACTTTATAATTCTATTAAAAGAGAAATTTATGAACCTAAGGTATAAAAATATATATATCATTAAATTTTTAATCATTAAAAAAACATTTTCGTTTATACTTGTTATTGCTCAAGTTATATGTAAACTAAAAATCTTTTTACTAGGATATGATATACATATTGTCATCTTTGATAATGCTAAAGTTATAACATTAGTGAAATGTTAGGATTTCTATTAAATTTTTATTAAATTTATTTTTGAAAGCTTTAAGCAATGACAAGTATGTGATTTTAAATTATTGAAGCTTAATTTTTTTCATTTGTTTTTTTATTAATCGTGTTTTATTATGGGATATAGGAAGAAGAAGAAAACAAGGCACTTGGTTTATCTTGGGTGCAACCAGGATCATTGCAACCATTCTCTAAATCTGAAGCAAGATAATAAGTAGCATTATGTATATTTATTATTTATAGAAAATTTATAGAAAACATAATAACAAAACTATATACGTCCTTAGAAAATAAGAGGAACGTAAATTTAAATGCAGGGGATAAATTGTAATATATTTTTATAATTAAAATGATTATTTTTTATTTTAATTTTTAATATAATGAATATGAAACTGTTTTGTATATTAAGCATATATAATACTCTTACATTTAATTATAATAAATACAATTGTTGGCTTGTTATTAAATGTACTGCGAACATTTTTTTTTTTAAATAAACCATTATTAAATAAATAAATTGCAAATATCATATATTATTAGAAATCATTATTATAGAGATATATTATAAAATAAACACATATATTGATTATATATATTATATATAAAATAAACATATATATACATATAAACATATATACTGATTATAAATGCCATGTAAAAAATTTTGAGAATATTCTCGAGATATTGTAATATAAATTTTTAGAAGAAGAATTTTTTATTGAATTTGATGATTGGGAAAATATAATCTAATAATAGGAGAAAATAATAGACTTGCAAAAATTTTCTAGAATTTAATGAATTTATGTATTATATATATATCTTTATATAAAATAAAATATGCATAAAAATATATACTACTATTCAAAAGAATATATAAATATATATTCGATATATAAAGATTTAAAAATATATATAATACATATACATATAAAAAAATAGAAATATGTATAAAATATATACATATATATACATAGAATTTGGTACGACATGTAGAAACGTAAAATAAGTACATTTTGTTAAATAAAAGTTAAATAAAGAAAGAAAATAATAAATTTATGCACTTGTGACGCCATCTTGCGTTTTGATATCCTAAACTTAAACTTGTTACTAGCATAGCAGAATATATAAAGAGGTATTTGTATACAAAAGGAATAACAGTGTGCGAGAATAGAGAAGACGTATCATTAAGTTTTATGCGATTCTTGATATTTTCCGAAAACATAATTTTCTGAAAATTAATAATTAACTAATTTTTTATTATTCATTTTTGTATTCTTAAATTTATATGAGATGAGATTTTAAAAAAGTTTCTTCTATTAATTGTAGTATAATATTCTTTTTAATTAATTATTTATTAATGATTAATATCACATTAGATGGACGCCATTAATATGCAATTTTTTTTATTATTCTCATTTTAAATTTAAAATTTCATTTAGAATTTATTTTTAAATATAAATATATATTTATATATATTTATATACATTAATTCCATTACTTTCACGTATTAATTTTATACATATATAAGTTTGCTATCGTTTAAATAAATAATTTGATTAATATTTTTGCATAATAATTGTTAATAAACAATTAATTAGGAAGAATTTCTGAATTTTCAAAAATATGTATCTCAAAAATAGAACTTCAAATAATTTTCTCGTATAAATTTTAACTGGAAATTTTTTTCAATTATTTATTAATGATCATCATAGAGAAAGCATCTTGGTCGCATATTCTCAATCTATAATCGAGTAATAAATGTTCAACATTGTTATTATTTAAAAGACAATAAAATTATGAACGAAAATAATACACGAATATAAGAGGAGTTATTAATTTAAAGTTTGAGCTGCACACAATTATATAGAAATAAATCTTATAATAACATTAATATATATAATAAATATGATATTAATACATAATATTGATTATATCAGCCTGCACCTAGCACATATTTATGATTTTAATAACTAGAAATTAATAATTAGAAATTAAGAATGAATTTTAATTTTCTATTAAAATTTATACCAGAAACTTGTTTGAGATTTTAGCTTTGAATTATGCAAAAAAATGCTTAAAGTGCAAAAATTTTTAATAAAAAATTATTAAAGTTATTAATTAATTTTTAATGATATCTTTTAATATTATTCTTCTTATGACATCACGAAATGACCTCCTTACATATTCTGCTATGCCAATAACAATTTGGAGCTTCGAATATCAAAACGCAAGATGGCGTTGATCAAAATTTTTCAATCGTTGTTTATCGGCAAAATAGATTACAAAATTTACAGGATCGGAGAAAGAATAAAAGTATATTTCATATATATGTATAAAATAATAAAAATACAAAATAACACATAAAAATACAAAAATATATATATTTAAAATATATTACAATATAAAAATGAAAAAAATATATATACGTATAATATATTTGTAATAAAAATAAATTAGGATTATACTAAAAATTCCATGAATTGGAATTTGATTTCATTTATTACATGTATATACGTGTATAATTAAATACATATGAAGTAAATTTCAAAATAAATCTTTAAATTAAATATTTATTGAATGGAATATTACGATTTTTTTTTTTTTTATTATTCTTTTTAAATATAAGAAATCATATTAATTTAATTCTTATTATTGTTATCTTTTTTTTCATTGTCTTGATCTTAATTAGACTTATATTAGATATATTCTTTTAAAAAATCGTTATCATGCGTATTGGGTTTTAAACATGTGTGACAAGTATTCGTAAATGAAAGTTCGTCAAAAGAAATATATATTTCGTGATAAATATAAAATGCAATGAAATATATTACGATTGATAGTATCGGAATATTAAATGTCGCTTTTGTATTTTATCTTATTTCAATATATTCCTAATATAAGCGTTCATTGCATTTTAAGATTATGAATTACGATTTTAACCTTTAACGACGGACATACAACTATAGGTAATCGTTTTATACCCATATCGTTTGTTTAATATAATTTTATTTTATAAAATAATAGTATTTTCGAGAATTTTAAATTAACATGATTAACATTATAATCGTTATCGTAAAGAATTATAGATTAATTCTTTATACTTTGATTTTTACATTCGAAAAATTCGATGATGTATTTAGAGGTTAATTAAAGTCTGATTTTTTTATAAATGTATATAATTTACGAGAAAGATTTTTTATTAAATTCATATCTCGTGTAAAACGTAAAATATAAAAATATTTAAAATAATGAGTTAATTATTTATAAAATATCAAAGAATTTTTAGTGATATCTATTTTCTTGCCGTTATGAAAATCACATTGGCATATCATTACTAGATATTATAAGATGCCTTTAAATTCTTATTTTTTTTTCTTAATTCTAAACATATGTGTCATATAGTTGTAGGTAATACAAGAAATATCAAAATGCAGACGATAAAATGCGTTGTGGTTGGAGATGGAGCTGTGGGTAAAACTTGTCTTTTGATTTCATATACAACCAATAAGTTTCCATCCGAATATGTACCTACAGTTTTTGACAATTATGCAGTAACAGTAATGATCGGTGGAGATCCATACACATTGGGATTATTCGATACTGCTGGTAAATTTGTAACAATATATGTATGATATAATTTATATTTTATGATATATTTTATTATATATTACGTTGTGTTATAGGTCAGGAAGATTACGACAGACTTAGACCGTTAAGTTATCCCCAAACAGATGTATTTCTTGTTTGTTTTTCAGTTGTCTCACCATCATCTTTTGAAAATGTTAAAGAAAAGGTTACATTTTATTCAAATTTTTTAACGTTTGTTATTTCGTTAAATTCAATTTACATGCACAATGAAGGAGAAAATTATCAATCGTACGTGTATGCTTCATTTTAGTGGGTACCCGAAATAACACATCATTGTCCAAGGACGCCGTTTTTGTTGGTTGGTACTCAAATCGATTTGAGAGATGATGTTGCTACTATCGAAAAATTGGCAAAGAATAAGCAAAAGCCAATATCCGCGGAGCAAGGGGAAAAGCTTGCCAAAGAATTAAAAGCAGTGAAATACGTAGAATGTAGTGCTCTTACGCAGGTAAGTACTTACATTCGTTAAAGAAGAAGAACATGCTCGATTTTGTTATAATTTTTTTTGAATAATAACGTATTCAATAATAATACAGTTTTAAAAATTTCAGAAAGGTTTGAAAAATGTGTTTGATGAAGCTATTTTAGCCGCTTTAGAACCTCCAGAACCAGTAAAGAAGAGAAAATGTACGCTCTTGTAAGAGAGAAACATCAATAGAAATGGATTGGTAATCAAAAAGAAAACGAAGTTACATGTAATAACGAGGAGCGGCAAATTTCATGCATAGTATAAAGCAATTTGTTAGAAATTCGGAAACTGTGCGTAATACCGTTCCTTTCCGAAAAAGATATTAAAATATCGATTAATAGCCGCTAATATAATGTAACGCGACAATTTGAAACGAACTTTTAATTATCGTATTATAATCGTATCTATCACATTCCATACAACGTGAAATTTCGATTAAAAGTTTTTTCTGACTCGATGAAATTTTTTAATTTTATAATATCAAGTATACTTGGTAATAAATATTTTCCAATTAGCTTTGAGAAAGATATTAAGATATTAATTTTACCAAAAAGAATAATATTTTAAAATCTATTAAAACAATTGGTGCTATCGATTAATATAGTATTTTTGGGTTGCATTTAAACATTTAATAGTAAAATGAATATACAAATATACTTCGAAATTTTTTTTGAATATATATAAAAAATTTGAAAGAGAAAAGAAATCAAAAAATATTAATTTTTAATGTATCGAATTAAACAACACGTTCATGTACCGGAATCAACGAAATCAAATACGAGATATAAACGTAAAATGAGCGACAATGTTATTTTTTTTTTTTTTTTTGAACAATATTACGAATATTTCGAGGCATGAATTGTTGATAGATTTTCCGCGATTTTAAATGGCAGCTATGATAAATGGTTTTTATAAGAACGTATTTTTTTTTGTGGCAAATACTGATACTATTCGTGTCTAATTTTGTACATATCAGCATTTGTTACAAATGCACACTGATATGACGTAATAAATATCGGTAGATAATAAGAAGAAGGGAAGAGAGACGATAATAACAAGACATTTATATTTTATAAGATTTCAATTAACGAATTTGCTAGTAATGTCGTATTATATATAAGCCGAAAATTAAATTTTCGACGAAAATACACACGATTAAATAGACGATAGTTGGTCGAAACGAGCGTCGAGCTCGTTTTCCAGCAATTACATGTTTACGTATTATTTATTTCAACAAATATTGTATTATTTGATAAGAAAAATATCAATACTTAGTGTTTTTCTATTAACTTTTTACGATATGCGAACTGGATACATGTAGCGAGAATTCGAAAAATACAAGTGAATTTTGCGCGAGCGCAAAATAAACTC